GAACGGGCCCCTTGACAGACCCTGCGCCATGTGCTGGGGCTGCTGGACAAACAGAACGAGGTCCCTTGCAGCCAGGGAGCAGTGATGAATACATGAACAAGCAATTCCTAGGAAGTGTGACAAATGCTGAGTGGGCTGGACAGCTGTGCCAAATGCCATGGGGACTCGGCTGTGTGGCCCTGGGTAAGTCATGTCCCTTCACTGACCTCTATTCCCTATGCGAAGAGCTGTTTTCAGCCTCCAAGCGTGTAGCCCAGAGTTACTGCTTAATGAATTTCCCTTCCTAAAAGGAAGTTCTTGAATTTGTAACACACTTTTCTGCTGCACAGAGCTAACCCACAGGTCCAGCAGAGATCTTCCTGCCTTTTGCATGTGAACTGAGAATTCCTCGGGCCTCTTAATTTCCCTAGCACGGAGAACCCCAAAAATCGTCTCTCAAGGTATCGCTAACACACAGATACCTTTTCCAAGCCCCCTTTGCCTCTGGTCCCTGGGTTTCCATGGGCTATCTTATGTGGCCCCAATGAGTCATGCCAACCTCGGCCCTTTCTAGAATCCACAGGAAATCCCATCCCAGCAAACCATTTCGTGGTATTTTGAGGGCCCTGTTGGAGACTGAGGCGTCACACGAAGAACAGTCACATTGGGCTGCACCCAACCTCCTGCCATCTTGTTCACCCACATCTCCCAGTCAATCCCGGCACCGAGTGACACTCGTTCTTGCCCTCCTCCAAAGGCTGAGCGCCTCTGACCCCAGGGCCCTGGGAAGGGGGATTCTACGCCGAACAAGCTTCTTAAGGCATTTCTCCAAGAAAGGCCATTGTCTCTAAGAGGAATGCCCACTGGTAGGCAGAGGCAATTTCTCTGTTTCTTTGCAGTTCATTTTATCCTCATTAACAGCCCTCTGAGATTAGTGCAATCGTCTTTGACTGTGTAGATGAGGAAGTGCAGGCTCCAAGATGAAATGCCCTTGCCCAAGGTCACACAGCGTGTGAGCGCCAGAGTCTGGCTTCAAGCTGTGCTTGGTCCAGCTCCACTGTCCCTGTGGCCTGTCTAATGACAGTCAGTCACATGTGCTTCAGAGGGAACAAGTGACTTTTCCTGTGCCCTGCCCTTCCAGCTCTGGGAGGGAGTCTCTGCTCTGTGGCAGCCTTGTAACAGCCCTTGGCTTCTTTGAAAAGGCACCCCTGCCTGCTCTCCCCTTTAACAGCGGCAGAAAGGTGTTAACATGCATACCTGCACAGGTAAGCTGTGGGGAGAATTCTGTTGTAGCTGGAGACCAGGTGGGAAGACAGGCCAATGGTCAGCTTAGCACAAATGTGACTAAGTCCCCACATTGCCTACTCCCACAGGCCCCAGACTCCTGAAGGTCAAGTCACTTGTACCTTATAGTTCTGGGCTTTCTCACAACGTGCTCCCCGGATCTCCCCGGGTCCCGAGGACCGTGACATGTCTTGTGTTTATGTCCTTCCCCTGGTCTCTGTCCCTCATGGTGTCACAGAAACACTGGACCCTCACGGACTTAACATCTCACCGCGTGGCTCTCACAGGACTTTGCTTTCCTCTAGGATGAGGCTTGGACGAGGCTTTCCTCATGGGTTGGGGTGAGATGGACAAAATAGGGCATCCGTTCCACTGGTAGTTACCGAGGTCCAACTCTGCAGGCCCGTGGGTAGGCACTGCCAGGGGGTGAGCAGAGCGCACCGTGTTCTCGAAGAGCTCATGCTCTAGTGGGCAGGGGCAATTTCTAAAATGCTGTCACCGTGGAAAATGATTACCATATTAGGAAATAGTTAACAAGAGGAGACAGCAATAGCCACTGACCTCTGCCCAGGGGCTCAGAGGGGAAGTCTTCACAGAGGAGGCAAAGTGGACGGGGATTGAAAGCAGGAGAGGGGTTTCCAGACACCGGCGGGAGGGGGAATGCAGGCAGCAGAGCGGAGCAGGGTAGGGAGGCTGGGCCCCCTTCGCCGGGTGCACGCACAGCGCCCGCCCAGACACTGTGCACGCCCCTCTGGTCGGACATGTCTTCTTACTTTGCACACGAGGTGTGGAGCCAGACAGACGCAAGCTCAAACCCCCCTTTGCCACTTGCTACTCTATACAGGTTCCTGGAGCTCTCTGGGCCTGTTTATTCCCCTGTAGTGAGGGGCTGGCAGTCCCTCCCTTACAGGGTCACAAAGTGATACAGATGATGGCAACCAGCACTGTGGCTGCGGGCCCTTAATGGTGTTTTGTTTTTATTGTTTCATTTGTGTTTTAAAGGCATATTGGAGATCCCCAAAATTGTACTTAACATGGGCTGTGGTGCATCTTAAGATGTTTGACAAAATGGGTCCTGAGCCTCGGATTTGAAAGGGGCTTAAATGTCCCTGTTCTCACTCTTTAATGAGATGAGGCGGGAGACCATGATGGTGATCACCCTTTCGGGGCGCGTCAGCGTCAGCTTGGAAGGCACGCCTAGAGGCAGCGTGCTGATAAGGTTCTGAGCAGGGATGGACGACCTCCCTGCCAGGAGAGTTCTAGCATCTGGACGAACAGAAAGGCTCCAGCGGGGCAGGGCTGCTGGGGATGCTCAGGACTTCCTAGGCAAACCGCTTCTCGCTGTCCCTGTTATGATACATTTGTCCTCATGCCATCGTGAGTTGTTAAATTAAGTAACATAACAGTAGCAGCCACCCCAGATCATGACCCAACCCCCCCTTTCCCACCCAGCTACGGGGACCTCACTTTTCACCTTCTGCTCCACATGCGCTCAGTACAATAGACCCTCAGCAACAACTCATTCAATGTCACAATTTCAAAGTCACCCATTTGCTTCTGGGATGCTGGCTCTCCTTTACACAAAGGACCTGTGAGCATGGATAATTGGGCTGTGTGAGTGACGATGAACTCCTCAGTTGATCTGGGCTAGGCTGTCCACTGTCCCCAGCAGTATGTAAGCAGGTCTGGGCTGGCTTGCCAGGCTGCCTGACGTTTCTGGGTATCCTGAAAAGAGGAGTGCTTTCAAGTGTGTGTGTGTGTGTGTGTGTGTGTGTGTGTGTGTGTGTGTGTGTAGTGTTTGTTTGTTTGGTTTTTTTTTGATAAGGCTCTGATACAAGTTGCAGGACATTTTCTCCACAGGGACAGATCAGGAACTCAGCTAGCATCAAGCCCCACTGCCCTTCTAATTGCTGCACTGGCACAGAAGCAGCCTTACACCTATGCTTTGAGGGGGGCTGGAGAGATGCTAGGATCCATCATTTTGCATAAGGATGCTACCCAGCACTGCCACTTATAAGACATTCAGAACAGATACAGCCTATGAAGCCTTGTTATTATTTTTATTACTAGTTCTACTATTGCAAAAATAACTACCATGTATGGAGTGCTTATTAAGTTCCAGGTGCAATTCTAACTGCTTTGCAAATAACATCTCACTAACTCCCCCTTTCCCTCCCAATGAAGTTAACTGCCATTATTATCACCATTTTACAAATAAAATTAAAAATGGGCCAAACGAGATTATATAACTGGGTAAAGTCCTACACGTAGTATAGGGAAAAGGGGGGAAATGTATACTGATTTAATCTCCAGCTGGTGCTTAACTACTCCCCGCTAAGAGAGTCAGACATGAAAATGTATGGGGATGCCGATCACAGAAGAAGTTATGCTTTTATTATAATAAATGCCTAAACCTTATAGAATGAGCTCTACACGTGGGGATTGAAAAAAAAAATTCATTTGTGATAATCTGTTTTGTACAAAAGCACCTATTTAATCTATGTAAATTACAAACAGAATATTCATTAGAGAGTCACACACAGCCAATGTTCTATATGGGGTCTGGGAGCACATGGGAGACACCGTTTATGGTGACCATGCACGATCAGACCTGCTTTTAGAAGGATGTCCCTGGAAGGGCCCGTTTGGAAAAGAGTGGCGAGGAGAGGAAGAAGGGTTGAGGGCTGTCAGAGGAGGCTAGGCGATGGTGACTTGTGCTGTGCATGAAAGGAGGGGACATTCCAAGGCCTAGTCAGTGGGTCACATGACCATGTGGAGAGAGTGGGTGCTGCGTGTCAAGGATGCTGATTTATTTCCAGCCTGTGCATCTCGATGCCATTAACTGAGGAAAGGGGGCTGATTTCCCAAGAGGAGACGATACAGCCCATTCAACATAAGGAGGCAGGTCAAAACTCCAGCAGCCTTCTAAATGACTACATCCCCAAGTGTTGTGTGTGCCATTGGTGGTACCCAAGATGGCCTCCGGTGGTTCCCTGATAAACCTTTAAGAATGTAACAATTTTGCATTTATTTGTATGGCTAACATTTATTTACGGCTCATGGTTCAGGTTTTCCCTTTCTATAGTTCTGTTTTCTTTTTTTTAAAAAGATTTTATTGGGGAATTGGGGAAGGGGAACAGTGTTGGGGGATTGGGGGAGGGGAACAGCCAAGTTGTTGTCCTTCAATCTTAGTTGTGGGGGGCGCAGCTAGCTCAGCTCCAAGTCCAGTCGTCGTCTGGCTGGCCATGGGCAGCTCATGGCTGTTCAGCTGAAGGTGCCGAGTTCAATCTTAGTTGGGGGGGGGGGGGGGGTGGGGGGATGAAGGGCCGACAGGGCATAGCCCACCATCCCATACGGTAGTCACTGGGAAACCTTGTTGCTAGGAGCATGCGCTCAAACCACTGAGCCATCAGCCACCATCGGCACCTCAGGGCAGCTCAGCTCCTGTGCAGTTCACTGACCCATGTGGGAATCGAACCTGCGACCCTGTTGCTCAGAGCTCGCACTCTTAACCAACTGAGCCGCTGGTCTGGCCCTAGTTTTGTTTTCTTTTAGATGCATGTATTTAAGTAAGAAAAGGGAGTCTCATTGACAGACGCATGTTAAACGCTACTCGGTGTGGCTGACACCATGAAGCGGTGGCTGAATGGCTGAGATCAGTCTGAAGAGCTGTTCTCCACCATTCCCCCGAGACACCCACCCCAGCCATCCTGACAGTCCCCTCCTGTGTCTTGCAGACCCAGTGCACGGCCCGCAGAACGTGGAGATTGTGGACATCCGAGCCCGGCAGCTGACCCTGCAGTGGGAGCCCTTCGGCTACGCGGTGACCCGCTGTCACAGCTACAACCTCACGGTGCAGTACCAGTACGTGTTCAACCAGCAGCAGTACGAGGCTGAGGAGGTCATTCAGACCTCCTCCCACTACACGCTGAGGGGCCTGCGCCCCTTCATGACCATCCGGCTGCGGCTCCTGCTGTCCAACCCCGAGGGCCGGATGGAGAGCGAGGAGCTGGTGGTGCAGACAGAGGAGGACGGTGAGTGAGGGAGACGCTTCCGGGAGTGGGGAATGTTGGGCCTGCTCACTGGGCCGCGCCTGTCGGTTAAGAGGGGTTTGGCTTTTTTTCCTGCTTCTTTAATCTCCTGTTCTGCGTCTGCTTCGTTTCCAAGGTCCTCAGTGCAGGCTTTACATCGCGCAACTCCAGGGGGCGCTGTTCCCATAGACACAGCAGCTCTGCCTCAGACACGCCCTGGAGTTTGACCTTTCTGTACCTCCGTCCCCCTTCTCACTTTATACCACCTTCGATAACCAACATTTAACCACTTTGATGCCTCTAACAGACAAGCTGTATATCGTATTGCTTAAGCATGTGGAGTGTGGGAGTCAGAAAACTCGGGATTCTCTAAGAATTAAAATCTGAAAATACATATAAAGAGCGTAGCGCGCACATTGGATTCACCCAGCCGGATACTCACTTGGAAGTCCTACAGGCATCTCAAACCCAAAGGCTCCAAAAATGAACTGATCTCTTGTATCTTGACTTCTCTCTCTGTGCCTCACCTCAGTGAACTGCATCTAGCAAGTCCAGAGAAAGACCTGAAGCCAGCCTAGGTGCCTCTTTTCTCCCTTCCCACCTCCACTCACACAAGGCTCTGCCGAGTCTGCTCCCTGCTACTTACCTTCCAGCCTGCCTCTTAGCTCAAGACTCCAGGACTCCAGAGCCACGCATGCGTCTTAGAACACATCACTCTTCCCCCGCCTCTGCCCTTGCCCATGCGGTTTCTCCTGCTTGGAACAACCATTTCCTCGGTGTTTGCAGGACAAGCTCTATTAATCTTTCAAGTCTTTGCTCACATGCTACTTCCTCCAGGAAGCTCTCCCTGACTGCCGGAAGCTGACTTGGGTGTTCCTTCCCAGGCTCTCCTTGCATGTTGCTTCTCACTCTATCACAGCAGTTATCTTGTTCGTGGGAGGATGGAACTTCATTCTGGGACTTACCTAGGAAACATTTCTCCATGGCCATAGGCCATGTTCCCTCCAGCCAGACGGCCTCTGGCCTTGTGGGATGTCTTTAGTTAGTTCCCTAGAATCAGACCCTGAGATGTAGATTTGTGTTCATGTGATGCATTAAGGAAGTTTTTCCACAATAAATTTTTTTTTTTAAAAAGGAAGTTTTCCCAGGGGAGACTGGGAAGGGAGTGGGGGAAGCAGGACAGGGAAGGGGAGGAAGCCAGGGTTCAGCTTCCGGCCAAGTCCAGCAAAGGGGGCCTGCGACCTGGACCTGCAGAAGAGCTCTACAGGGAAGCTTAGGCATCACTCTTCCAAATCAGGGATGGGAGCTGCCGGCCAGTGGTTAGGGCTGGGATGGGGAGGGAGGATTGGGAAGTCGATTTTCAGGAACTTGGGGCTCTCTGCCCATGAAGGCGAAAGGTCAAGGGGTGCCAAATGGTTTAAAGGGATCTGAAGGGATCTGGGCAGAGCACAGTCATTGTCAGCTCCGTGATGCAAACACACCCACTTGACTCAGATTCGCCTTAGATCCTCGAGACACAACGAACGTGGGTATCCTGCCTGGTACTCTTGTTTCGTCTGAGCACGTCTCAGGACCCCTGGTGGCCCCTGGTGAGGTCCAGACCCACATCCTCAGATGCAAAGCCCCCTAAGGAGATAGAGGGAAAAGTGCCAGCCTCTTCTCACCCTGTCCCCTGATTCTCATTTCCCCCAAGTCCCATCCTGGACCGAAAGTGTTGCACAGCCCACCTCCACGACAAACCCTTCCTGAGCCTCTTAAATTCATCCTTGCAGCCACTCTTTTTGCAACCCCTATAGACTGTACTTCTAGGCGGCAGCAGCAGCACTGGGGACCCAGCTTCTGTCACCTCAGCCCCCCCATCTTCCTGCCTTGCCATGAACCTCAGTCCTTCGTGGGCGCAGCTCTCCCCCTGGACCAGTTTCTCCAGGTGGCCTGAGTGATCGGCTTCCTGTGAATCCATTCTTATGCAACCTCGAACATGGCGGGCAGAGGGGGGGGGCAGCTCACCTTGGCTGCGTTCTGCAGCCCAGGAGGTGTGGCCCTGGGTTTGGCTTCTGATAAAGCGTCCAGGCCTTTCCCTGGATCTGGCTCATTGTTTCAAAAATGATCAGCTTGTTCCTCCAGCAGGCAGAAGACAGAATGCACTGGTTTAGGAGGCAGAGCCTGGAGCCAAACACACCTAGGACAAGTCGCTCCGCCTCTCAGGGCCTTGGTTTCCTCAATGATAAAATGGAGATAAAAATAGTGCCTGCCTTATAGGTGGTTGTGCTCCTTCAAGGGGGTGGTATATAAAGAAATTGGTATAATGCCCAGCAGCTGGTAAGTTTTCAATACATGTAGCTGCCACATTTGCAGTAAATCACAGGGGGGGGGGGGGGTATTGGTGTTGGATCCAGTAGCACAAGCAACCCAGAAACCACATACCTGCTCTAGGAAACCTCTCCAGAGCGCTAAGCATCTACTCCAACTGTCTGGAGAAAACCTGACATAGACTTTCAAGGAATGGCAGTGTGATCTGAGAAGCAGAGTCAGGGCAGGAAGGGTGGTTTAGTGACAAGTGGCCATGGGTTCTTAGGGAGGAGTGAGTCACTGTTGAAACCCAACATGAATATTCAGGGATCAGGAGATGGATGACAGGGTTTGGCTCAGAAGAAACTCGGGAGTTTTTTTTCCGGATGCCCTGCCCACCTTGGGCTGCTTTTTGAGGATTCCCAACATGTGCAACAGCAAAACCCAGTTCCGTCTTTATGCCATGCCTCAACCTCCCCCTTTCTCCTTGTCACCAGGAAAAAAAAAAATCACAAAGCTTTTATTAAAACAACATGAGAGCAGCAGTGCTTGGAAATTAAGTTTTAATTAAGCACCATTAATAAAACATCAATTCCTACTCTACGGGGATGTGTGGACATCATCATATTAAAAACACCAACATACGAGACACCAATCCTCAGTCTTGTAGGATCCTGAGGCCCCATCTTGGAACCACTGGGCTGAAGGAAGCTCTCGGAAGGGCACAGGCTCCCTCTGTGTGCCAGGATTAGGCGCCATTCCTCCTGAGGAAGGTGGGGCACCATTTCTGTTGCCTGGGAGCTCTTTCACATCGAAGCCAACCTGAGGCTGGAGCCAGGCTCTAGTCCATTAAATGAACCCCCCTCGGGAACCACAAAGCATCCTCACGGCACTGAGCTGACTGGACTCACGCTGCTTTCGCCTGTGCTACAACATTGTCTTCTGGGGAATTTGTAGAATTTGTCATTCGGGCACCCCAGTGTCTTTGAGGGCCTGGGAAGGAATCCACTGCTGGTGAGAGAAGTTCATGGCCATTGAGCCCCGTTGCTTCGTTGGAGAAGCAGCTGTTGGAAAGAGACGAAACGGGTTCTTGATGTTTCCCCTTTTCACTAATGTCTCATTCAAAACCACAGTTCATTTACTTAGTGGTTACTTCCCCACCTTTTACCAGATGATAGCCCAGACTGCGGAATGGAATATATGAGGCCTTGAAAGTCAGACACGACGTTGACGATGGTCTCGTTTAGACTGCCATTTACTGAGTGCCCATGTGTGCCAGGCACCAACAGGTGTGTTATATGCAATGACGCATCCCCAAGATTTCAGTTTGAAATTTTCAAAGCAATAGAAAAATTGAAACAATAGTACAAAAAAGACCTGTAAACCCTTCACCTAGCCTCAACATTTTGTTAACGCTTTGCTACATATATCTTATTCATATATCGATATGATACATATGGTATGGAAATATCATATCTAAAACTACCTATAATATTTCTTAACTATTTAAAAGGAACTTACAGAAATCATGACAGCTGACCTCTGAGCTCTTTCCTGTACATGACCTAAAGATAAGGACATTCTCCTACAGAGCCTCAACACTATAGAACACCTGAGAAATTGAGCATTCACTTTTAAATCACCAAAAAGACAATCCACGTACACGTTTCCAAAAATGTTAAACCTGACCTTATGTGACAAACCAGATGACGAGACATTTTTGGCAAAAATGCGACCTGGGTTGGTGATGTATATTTCTCACTGTATCATGTCAAGAGGTACATAACGTAAAGGATCCCCTCCACGGGTGATGCTGCATTTGGTCACTTAGTAAGCCGGCGACCACCCCGTCCCACCACTGTAAATGCAATACCCATTTCCCTTTGTAATTCAACTCATCTGCGCAGTGACAGTTCAGGTTCTGTGATCATCCTGGTCCCCTAGAACTTTTCACCCAGTGGTTTTAGCACCCCTTCATAATCCTCACCTGAATCCAGTAGTACATTGGTATTAACAAAAAGGTGAATTTTAAATCTATCATTCCCTCTGCATGTTATTAACATTTTTCTTTATAGAAGAGCTTTTCTCTCTCGTCACCCCCATCCCCAGTTTTAGTATCCCTTGTGACTCATCGATCATTTGACTCAATGTATTAATATCCAGTAATATGTATAATTCTTTCCAATGCTCAAATGGTCTCCTGGAAGGCTAGTCAGAGGCCCTTCAAATGGGCTTCTAGGTCCTTTGGACACGTTCTCATTAGTCTTCCTTGCTTCTGACACAGCACAATATTCTAGATTGTCCTTGGAATGTCTCTGCCCCACACCTGAAGTCAGCCACTTATCTAAGGATCTGGGGTTGCTTTCAGTGGGGAGTGGTATTTTGGCAGGAAGATATACAACTTAGGTGTGCTCAGTGGGGCGTTATTGCCTCTAGACTCTTCGAGTAGGTAGAGCTGGGGAATATAATTTATCTGTTTTAAATCATGAGTTCATGCTGATTCAAATTTAACACCTCAGGAATCTTCTGCATTTGTTCTCATTCCATACATATATCTCCCTTCTCCCACAGTGAGAACCCGGTTCTCAACATCCACATTTTTTTTTTCATTTGCTCCATTTTACAAGACATAAAAAATAGCTTCAGAATTACAATACCAATTCTTCTAACCAACAAGAAAGGTACTAAGGTTAAAGACTTTTCTTTTCATTTTT